ATTTTGAAGGGGTAGCGGGTGTTTTTCTCCTCAACTTCTACGCCCATGAAAAATGTACGGTTTTGAGAGGCCTATTCAAACCGCCAATGTTTTCTACATAAAAAAGGTACTCTTGATCATAAGCTCTAAAGTTGACCGTTTTCGAGAAAAATCAACTTTAATATTTAAAAACATGTTCAATTTTTTGAAAAAAAAATTTTATTACTAATTAAACAAAATTTATTTTAACGTTAGAAAATGTAACAAAACCAAACGATAATTGCAAAATTAAAAAAAAAATAAAAAATGATTTTTTACACAAATGCATTTTTTATTTTGCAATTATGGTTTGGTTTTGTTACTTGTTCTAACTTTAAAATAAATTTTGTTTAATTAGTAAAAAAAAAATTTTTTTTTTTTAAATTGACCATGTTTTTAAACATAAAAGTTGATTTTTCTCGAAAACGGTCAACTTTAGAGCTTATGACCAAGAGTACCTTTTTTGTGTAGAAAACATTGGCGGTTCGAATAGGCCTCTCAAAACCGTACATTTTTCAGGGGCGTAGAAGTTGAGGAGAAAAACACCCGCTACCCCTTCAAAATCTCTACCAATTATGAGTAAAAAAAATTTTTTTTCTGGCACAAAACATAGCTTATTTTGAGTAGAAAATGCTTACAAAAGCTGTTTTTTGTACGATAAACGGTTCCGGAGATATTCGAAAAAAAACGATTTTTTTTCTAAAATTTCAACACCCTGTATCTCGAAAATTGTGCATTTTAGAGGGTAAGTTAATAGCGACTTTTTTCATCTTTTTTCATCTTTTTGGATGAGCTATCACATCCTGAAGTTCTGCACATATATTATGAAACACCCTGTATATAAACTATATTAATACAAAAATCAAAGGATAATATTTTAAAGTATCAATAATTGTTAAGTTTAATGTTAATGGTGAAAATTACGTCAAAAATGTTTATTAGGATGGTTACTTTATTCTCGTATGTCGCTTTATACCTTAGAACAAAAGCTTTATACAAATGAGGCTCTCATTTAAAATGGCGTGTATCAAACTTGATACATAATATACTATAATACATATGGCATAGGAACCCTCATTTTTTGTGGAATATAAAAATGTAATGTCATTATTTTAATATACGGGTTGAGTTTTTTAAAAAAGGAAAATTTATTTTTAAGCATAAATCATCTATATTAAGTAAAAATAAAACGTGGTGAAAGCGCTGTACTGTTAACAACGTAATTTAAATAAATTTTTATGAAGATAATTTTTTTTTATGAATACCAAAACATGTCTTTATTTTAATAAAAAAAAATGTAAAATTCTTGCATAGTCTATAGAAAAACATTACTATGCAGGCACTGCATTAAAAACTAACCTTTTCTGACATTTAAATATTAATAAACATATTTATTTATTGTTCAGTTAAATTTAAACGCACGTCTTGAGAAATTTAATACCCGTAGTTAGCGTAACAAAGATATCACGAAACACATAGGAAAAATAAAAAGTGTAGCACAGCACCTTTATATATAAGACCACATGTTTACCCACGGTGAGAAAAATCAATAATGCTTGCTAAAATAATCCTAACATTTTTTCTAATTCCACCTTTAAAACGCCCATTATCATACATGTTTTTATGACACTAAGTGACCTTTTAGATACACATTTACAATGACAAGTTGTGGATTTATGGCGTTTTAGTCACAAGCTGAAGTTAGCAACAGGTTTTTGTCACGGGCTGAAGATTCCGTTGCCATTCAAAATCCATTTATTAGGTTCTCAACAGGTTTTTAGTCCTATAGATGTATATCTATACGAATATTTAACTTAAATCATTTTTGGATAATAAACTTTTTCAGGCACTCATTTAATTAAACACTTGCTCGGTAAATTTTAGAGAAATTGAATTGATAATCCAGCGAGTTACCAATTTTGATGTTCCAAAAATTAGTAGCCCACTTGGCAGATTTTGACTCGGTTGTGCTTTGTAGTCATTTTTAACCTTATATTTCTTACTGTGCATTTAGTTGCATTAAGACAAAACTAAACTTAAATTCACGATATTTCAATTTTATAACGGCGCAATTGTTTTAAATGTCAGCACAATTACCGACGAAAATTTATTACAGGCAAAAAGACTTGGGCATTCACTGACTCATTTTTTTCTATTTCGTTTGTTCTTAGGCGATGGAAAATTTAAATAAGTGACATTTAAACATTTACAATGTAAATTGTTGGTAATTTGATATAAGAGTTTCACTTCCATACACTTGTTCTTTATTAGCATATATAAGGCTATTAAAATGTTATTTTTGTCACTGTGGAACCTAATTTAAATGTGTAACCATATTAATTATTTCAAGATCTTATAAATAGCATTTCCTTCTACTTACAATAAAGAAATCATTATGAGTCCCCAGAAAATATTTAAATACTTCGTGCGTTAGCCAATTTGGTACCTGAGGAAACGTAAATATATTTAAATTTTATGCGTGATCAGAAAGTTTATTAGGCTAATTAAAATTTTTTTGAGGTATTGTTTTTTGGAATAATTTAAATAATAAAAATTGCAGCAAGTCATCAAAACGTCGATATTGATTCAGCAAACATTTTTTTTCGAAAACAATGTAATTATTATAAAATATACATTTTAGATTATTTTGCAACAAATATCATTCATTTAGTTTCACATTACAAAGACCTGTAACAAACACCGCAAAATGCACACACATACTTTGTGTAGGACAATAATTTGTGTTACACAACCTTGGTCCTGCCATAGATATTTTGTTAAATTAAATTCATCCAACAACTTAACAATGACAAAACAACAAAACACGATGAATTATTATACAACTAGTTCTAATTATTGTTATTAGATAGCTATTAGATAACCATACCTTTATAGTAGACGTAGAAGTAAAAATATGTCACTAAAAAAGCAAGATTGTTTAATAAGTAATTAACGTGCAAATTTATAATTAATTAATTAACTAATTCATATTTTATTAATTAAATTACATATATAAGGTCAATTGTCAATTACAATGCATTTTCGCCGCATAAATGTATGGATAAAGTATGTAGAAATTGTTTTAAAAATAGAAGAAACACTTTCATGATTATGTAATGCCTAATTAGTGTTTCTCACGATAAATATAATTTATTCACAATTTGTGTATATTTTAAGTACACTAGTTGAAAGTATCGTCGTGAGAACTTAATGAATCGATTTTGAATGGCAACGGAATCTTCAGCCCGTGATAAAAACATGTTGCTTCAGCCCGTGACTAAAGCACGATAAAGCCTCAACTTGTCAATGTGCATTTAAAATGTCACTGAGTGTCATGGAAACATGTATAAAATATGTTATGTTTATGATAATGTTGAAATATTATTGATACTCGTAATATATTGATACTGAACCTAAAAATTACATGGGTTGGTTAACAATAATAAAGGTGAAAATTAATTCATATGGCCTTTGAAATTGTAATATCAATTGTAAATCATATGGATATAAAACATTGATTGTTTCTTTTTTAACTAATAAATAATGAATTGTGCATAATAAAATAGTACATAAATAATTTTATTGCTTAAAACAAGATTTAATATACTATATAAATACTATAGCGAATGTAATATGAGTGTGACGTGGGTGCATCATATTTATAAATATAGGACACCCTGTATAATAAATGTACAGTTGGTTGCCTTATTATAAGAGAAAGTAGCTTTTTCTTCCAATTCCAGTTTGGATTTATTTGGTGAGAAAAATAACTGACCCTTCTTAAAATATAATATTATAAAATATTTAGTATATTTTTTCAAAATTGGCAATTTAAAAATTTGTTTGTTTTTTTTGTTTGTTTTTTTTTTTAAATAATTTTGTTGTTCTTTTAAAATACTATACAGGTATTTTAATACCCTTTCTCTTGTGTTTTTTTGTTTAGCCTTTATTTATATATTTTTTTACTTTCTACTTTGTTTTTCTTTTTTCTTTCTTTCGGCTTTCGTCTTCCTTCTTCTTTCTTCCATCTTATTTGTTTATTGTTCTCTCTTTCTTCTTTCTTGTTTATTTTTTGTTTTTTGATTTTTGTTTCTTATTACTTGTTTTTTTCTTGTTTCGTATTTCATTTTTGTTTGTTTTTTGTTTTCTTTTTTCTTATTTGTTTTTTTTTTCTTTTTTTCTTTTCTTTTCTTTTCTTTTCTTTTCTTGTCTTGTCTTTCTTTTTCCTTCTTTCTTGTTTCTTGCTTCTTGCTTCTTACTTCTTGTTTCTTATATTTTTGTTGTTTTTTTTTTATTTTGTTATTTTTCTTCTTACTTGTTTTTTGTTTATTGTTTGGTTCTTGTTGTTTGTTTTTTGTTGTTTGTTATTTTTGTTTTCTTGTTTGTTTTTTGTTTCCTGTTTGTTTCTTATATGTTGTGTGTTTTTTATTTCTCGTAATTTTTGTTTGTTTCTTGTTTCTTGTTTTTTATTTCTTTTTTCTTGTTTCTTGTTTTTTGTAATTTTTCTTCTTTCTTATATGTTTGTTGTTGGGTTCTTTTTATTTGTTGTTTCTTGTTTGTTTCCTGTTTGATTTTTGTTGTTGTTTGTTATTTGTTGTTAGTTTCTTTTTTTTTTTGTTTTACTCTTTTGTATTTTGTTTTTATATTACCTTCGAATGCCATTTTTAATATATAAATAACAAAAACAAAATACTGTGCCCAATAATATGACCATTGACTCAACGATATGACTCTGTAAGATCCTTTCTAAATTTAATAGCAATTAACCTTTTAACGAACTTAAGAACACATAAAACTATCTCACTAAAATTCTATTCCCTAATCAATTATAATCCATTAAACTTAAGTATCGGTAAATCTTAAAAAGCGTAACATAAAATGAATTTGAAAAAAAATAGCAATAATATAAAGAGCCGCAGTAAGGATTTCGTAACACTTTACGCCATATTAACTGAATTATCCGTTTCCTTTTCATGGTTTATTGACAGTTAACAATGCAAGCGGTAAGTTGTATACGCGAATTGTATGATTTATTGTTTTGCGACACTCGTTCTCTCAAATTAAATGCAATTTTAAGCCTTCTAGATTTGACAGGTGTTAATTTATCGTTTCCTGAGAGCCATAAGTACCTAGAAGTGTTTTATTGTCGTATGTAGGAGGAATACACTGTGGACTGTTATGAACATTAATATGTAAAAATATAGTTAAAAAAAATTTTTTTGACATAATTCATTACACTGGTTACATCCAAAATGTACAATCGATGTCACTACTTTTTGGAAAAAAATGCAAGTAATAATAAATATTCGATAAAATTTATTGATTGACTAAGTGAAAAAACTTGCTGACTATCGAGTGATATGTTGAATGGTGGTGATAGTGTTCGTTTGCGACCCGAGAGGTCCGTTTCCAGCGACAAGAACCAAACGTGTCACTTACAGTTCGAGGATATTTTTAAAACCGACTTCTTTTTGCACACAGGTCGAGCCCGGTGAGACGTACGCCACCACTAAAGAGGGTAAGTGATATCCATTTTTATTATTAGTAATTTTAGTTACAAAACGAGTTTTATAAACTAAAAAAAAATACATTTAAACTGCATTAAGATACAGAGTGTCCCAGAACTCTTGCATAGAGAAAAATTGCTGATAGCAATGGAGATGCCAAATTTAAAAATTAAAATTTCTAGGTTATAGTATAATCAAATAAGAGCAAAAAAGCGGCAGCCAATACCAAGAGCTCTCGTCTAGGTTAAACGAAAAAAGTTTCAAAATTGCTAGGAGACGATACAACATTGTTGTCTTAAAACTTTTAAAAATCTTTTGTCCGACTGTGATTACTAACCTTTCAAAAAGGAATGTTCTACTTGAGGACGCCAATGTTTTAAAGTAAAAATTAAACAACTAGTTCTGTACCGCAATCGCATAAAAAGAACGTCCTTCATAACCCTCCGAACTCTAAACGGGAAATTCGCATAAAACTTCCCTTATGCTCTTCCTACTATTTGCATCAAAGGCATTGAAACTATCTTCTTTATTTTCCGCTGTTTTAATACGTTAAGGAGCACCTTCAATTTCTTTACAACGCAGAACAACTTTACAGTCCTGGTTACGATCGGGAAAGCGATGGGAAAAAACTCGTGCTGCCCATACTCCCCATAAATAATCATCATTTCGGCATAATCAGAGGAGGAAAACAATGTTTTCCTCCATTCAAATCATAACTTAAAATGATAAATAACTGACAGCACAATGAAGTGGATTCAAGTCGACCGAATATTTTACATATTATATTATCAACAATGCATCCTAAGTATCCTAGCAATTTAAAGAATTCCCTATTGCCATGTATTGGGATTGGCCATCGTTTTTTATTCTTATCTTGCTTATCCTTTGCGTTAGATAATTTTAATTTTCAAGTAAAGTTCATATTAGGGGTTTGGTTGGTAAATACGGAACCAAAATTGGTTTTATTGATTAAAACAAACTAAACTAGTTATAAATGTAATTATAATGTAATTGTGGTTATGTTTAAAGTAGTAGAGTAGTAACGCCATCAACCTATCCAGCTTACAGGCAAAGCCTATAAGATTCGGTACTATTAAGGTATGTTTAAATTATTGTAGTTTACATTTAACGGTTGTCAAGTTAAGTCTAGTTGAGTTGACAAAATTCGTAGTTAAAATGCAATTAATTTGGCTTTGGTGGTGCGTGATGAGTAAAATCATAAAAAATAAAAACAGTATAGAAAATGGATTTTTAGTTTTCAAAGAGAAAAATCATAGTGTGCCGATATGCCACAGCATCAAAAATATTTATTTCAAATAGCTTGTTTCAAGACAAGCCCAAGCCCAATTGGAACCAAAGTTATGATCGATGATATATTGGCAAAATCGTTATAATCATGAAAATTTAAATAATCATATCTCCAAAAACAATTGACAACCCATGCTAAAATTAAAATTGAATTTTTATTCTGAGTCAGGGAACCCATGGAAAAATTGCCATGGAATTTCGAAATGGCGAGGGTTTTTTTCGAGTCGAATTCACGTGGAATTCCCCTTAGTATAATATAGTATATATTCTCCAGGACTATTAATAATCAGTAACTTGCAAATTGAAAAAAGAAAAAGTTTCGTGATTATTGCTTATCTTTTTCAAACCAAATGGATGCTATTTTCAAAGACAAAAAAATTAACTACTAGATTTTTCACAAAAAAGTTGAACCTAATAGCAAATAATTTTTATTTTTTGTTTTTTTATTTCCCCCTTATTTTTTAAAATTTTAATTTGTTTTGGTCTGCTTAGCTGAAAATAATGTGTGATTTAATATTTTTAAAACCAAAAACGTTACTTTTTTATCTAAAAATGTCCATAAGGCGATGTACTTTTTCTGCCATTGAGCATTTGGCATAACTTCATCGAAATGAAGTTTTGCCCTTAAAAGTTCTTTTACTTTAGAATCTGATATTATTTTTGGCGTAGTTATCTTTTTATATCGATATTTTATAATAATTAACAAGTAAATTATCAATAATAACTTAAACTAAAGCTACAATTGTAATTTATTTATTTACTGTGTATACACGTTGTATTTATTATTTTTATATATATTCTATATTTTGTCATGGATTTTCTTTCCGTTAATAAATTTATTTATTTATTTTATTTATAATAAATATAACTGTCAATTTGACAGTGTCAGAGTATTTAATTAAGGCCCGGTCTTCAGCAGAAGTACCATTTTTTAAATACTAAAAATACTAAATCAAACTGGCATAACTTTCGGCACGATCCCTTTTTCTCTGTGACACGAGTTCTGGGACACCCTGTATATCTAAACAAAAAAAAATAAACCCATCTATTTTTTTTTAATTGTACAATATTAAAACTATGCAAATTTAATCATACTTGCATAATAAAGCTTCTGACAACTATATTTAACATCTTTATTTTATAAAACAATAATTAAACTAATTATACAAACATCTTAATTACCTTCATTAGAACCAACCATTTAGAGTTTTTAATTTATTTGAGTGAGTTTGACACAAATAAAACAACCTTTTATCACCTCGCCATTAAATTATCCCATTAAACAGCAAGAAAGAAAAAATGTAAGACAGTAAACAATGGATTATTATCTCAAAGTCTATTCTCTCATGCTTATTAAAATAGGTAAACGTTTGTCTATTCATAGCTTTGGTAGATAGGATCGGATCAACCTGCAACCAGCAGACGGATATTGTGCCCCTTTCTGCTAACAAATGCACCGTGTGTAAAAACTGTATAAAATGAGGACAAAGCTAATAACAGTACATTATAGACCAGGCGGATAAATCACCACTATCGCCGAGCATACATTTCACTGCCGAGGCGACAGCCGAGGCAGTAGATTGTGTGCCAGGCAATTAATAAGCTTTCGCCATCGTGTTATATATATATATATATTAGGGTGTCCCTTATTTTTATTTTTTTTACGCATATATATAGGGTATACCCTCTAATTATATGTATTACTTGTTTATATACTCCCAGTAAAAATTTCAGCTCATTCTATAAACGGGAACCCGTGCCGACTTGCATCTAAACCCTCCGTTAGCCAACGTTAGGCGCGCGCGGTATTTTGTAACACGAAACACTTTAAAAAGAAGATATACTTCATGACTGTATTTTTCCATGATTTTATTAAATATGATTACTAATTAATATTATTGCTTTTGTTTCTATCATTTGTTTCACTAATTTAGTTGATTTTATCCCTTAAATATATTAATATACTAATTAGTATTGCTAAAATATACTGTTATATGAAATTTCAGCTTTTTATAAGCATTTCTTTTCTTGATGTCCTCCCAAAAATATTTTAGACAATTCAATAAGTTTTCGGTAGTCATCTCTCACAGTAGACTTTTTTAGTTATTTAGAGTAAAACCCATTAAGTTTATCAATTTCAGAGTTTACGGCCTATTCACCAGACCCTTCCGGGTAACTAGCCACTCCCTGTGAAAATATACATTTTTATCAAAGTATACACATAAATAAAACTATATTTTAACATTTGTCAATAATTTATAATATAAGGGTCACATAATAACAAACACAAAATGACTTACGATCGAAGACCTCGCGACCAACCGTGTTACAAAATACCGCGCGCCTACTTTGGCTAACGGAGGGTTCAGATGCAAGTCGGCACGGGTTCCCGTTTATAGAATTAGCTGAAATTTTTACTGGAAGTATATAAACACGTAATAAATATAATTAGAGGGTATGCGTAAAAAAAATAAAAATAAGGGACACCCTAATATATATATATTTTAATGTATAACTGGATAAAAACAAACACTGTTTTTGAATTTTACGAATTTATTTAAATTTTATTTTACAATTGTTTCGCTAACACTGTAGCTTCTTCAGAAATGATTATAAACTTTATCTAATAACAAACTTATATAACACAATTATTGCAGGTAATAGGTTTTTTAAAAATTGTAATACTGTATAACTATTTTACCTATCAAAGTATAACAAAAGTTGTAATAAAATAATTTTGGGAAATTCTATCTTATATAATATTAGAATAAATTTAACAGGGGGGGATTATTAATTTCTATTTGATCATTGAGGATATTATCAGATTTTTTTATTGTATTAATTTTCAACCATTTCAGTAAATTTAACTTCTTACACTTATTTTCCACATGCAAAATTTTGAAATTATTGTCAAATGAATGGTTTTCTTGAATTAAATGGTTAGCAAACGTTGAATCTGTTTTTTGATTAATAAAAGATTTTCTATGTTCATTAATTCTACATTATTATGGGTAATCGACTTAGTCCATTACTAGTTGATATTTTTGTAAACCACTTTTCCACAAACATCCTAATATGAAACAATTCTTATATTGGTACATATATACTCTCTAAAAATGAAATAGTCAAAATTCTACTATTTTTTACTAATAAAATAGTCGTTTTCACTTTTAAATAGTTATTTTTTACTACGTAAATATAGTAAATTTAAAAGTAAACTACGTACACGTCATCGATGACGTCATAAATTTGCGCACTGGTACCAACACTAAATGAATAAATCGAAGTCTGTAATTGAATATTTGAATGCATTTTAACCAAATTATGTTGGCAACAATTGCGATGTTGTCATGTTTACATTAAAATTTTTCATATTTAAATGACACATAAAAAAGAATTTGACGTTTTAGAATTTCAAAGCTGTCAGTTGTGTTTTTGAATATTTCGTTTAATTCGTGTATTATTTCGTTTATTTTGTTTGTTGTTTGTGTTATTTTATATCGTTTAAGTTTTCATTGCCGTTTTTGTGTTTGTTATATATCGTTTTTTTGTGTTTCCTATATTTAAAATGCCGAAGCATTTAAATAGTCGGAGTCAAGAGTTTGTGTCATCCTTAATACGCTATTTTGAGGCAGAACGGGATAATAATGGACCTTTGTTACCTTTAACAGCTGTTAGAGAGGTAAATAGGATTATTATTAATTATATATTAGAATATTTAACAAAATATATGTTGGATACATAAAATAATAATATATATACCAAAGACTGACTTTAGATGGCAAAATTTTTGGGTTTTATATCAGAAAATGTCTTTAAAAATGGCTAAAAACATACTTTTGGCGGTGCATCATATAGGTTATAAAAACTCAGACTTTTGACATTTTAGTATTATTCATGTAAACGCCATCTATCGCCCTGTAGTTGCACTACCACTTTCCTCTGATGCAAGGATTTTAGCATCACATTGACAACCGTGCCCGATCAGCTGATTGATGACGTGTACGTAGTTTACTTTTAAATTTACTATAGTTAAAGTTTGTCTAATTTAAGATTAGTCACCATCTTTGACTATTTCTGAGAGTTAAAAGTAACTAATTTCTTTATTCGTTTGCGGCCAACAACAAAGTATTATTTGAATTAAATGCATATACCTAAACTCCATTGTTAAATGACCCATAAAAACAAATAAAGATATAAAAAGTTTTGCCCAAAACAAATAATATATTGAACTTTATGAACAATATTTATTGACAAATAAAATTGATTATTATAAGAGGTATAAGAGGGTATGATAGCCAAATGGGTTATGACAATAGCTTGACAAGCTTGACAATTAACAGACCTAAGTTCAATCCCCGGCTGGGTCAAAACTTTTTTTAAATTTAAATCTACTAATTTGACTATTTCATTCAGTAGAATTTGACTAATTATTAGTGACTGCTTTTTCGCTATGAAAATTAGTCAAATATGACTTATAATTAGTTATTTTTGACTAATTCATTTTAAGAGAGTAAGTAGGAGCAGAGGGTTGACGCTGTTTGAGCGATTTAAATTTACCATTTTGAAATTTTGACAAAATTTTGAAAAATATATTTAATATAATTTTACAAAATATTTTCTTTTAATATTTCTACCGTGCGGTGTTGCAAGAGTTAGATAAGGCCGCCGACGAGGTCACAGAAAAGTGCAATAAAATCCATTGTTACGACTCGTTTCATATGACCGTTCCCAAGCGGAGTGTGGAAATTGTCAACTGGTTTTTTTTCTTTCTATTATTATTAAGTATCTATTAATTTATATTGTTTTATTGTTCCGAAATATACGATTCTTTTAATATTTTGTGAAATTAGGAAATAGAGTAATTGCATCAAAAATGAAAATCCCTAAAAACCTTTTTAATGTAATCTAGAGGTAAAAACACATTGCAAAAATATTTTTTTATATTCCAAAAGTTCAACCCGGCCCCAAAATATCAAATTAAAAAAAAGGTACTTTTCAAACGTTCCGAACTCCCGCCAAATTGCATGACGTCATAAGCTCCAACTGTCAGAAATCAAGATGTCAACAAATAATAAACACCGATAAAGTTTATGTTTAACATGGAAAAGGCGAAACCAAAAATTGGTTGTAAATATTGTTTTGTGCCTTGTTGTACAAATACAACCTGGAAAACTCCTGGGAAAGTTGTCCCTTCAATTATCAAAAGCAAAGTTTATGACCCTACAATGAGAGTAGTTACGGCTCAGCCGTATTTTCTTGGGTTTATTAATATTTAACATACCTATTCAAACCATATACCTAGTAAACGACATTTTATTTTACTTACATTAAAATGATCCTTAAAATGATCAATAAAATGTTGACTGCGGTGACGATGTTTTGATATCGCGCCGAGCTATTTTAATCCACTTTATCCTTATTTTCCCTTTTGGCACGGTGATAAACCTTTTCCCAGGAGTTTTCCAGGTTGTATTTATACAAGGCACAAAACAATATTTACAACCAATTTTTGGTTTCGCGTTTTCCATGTTAAACTTTATCGGTGTTTATTATTTGTTGACATCTTGATTTCTGACAGTTGGAGCTTATGACGTCATGCAATTTGGCGGGAGTTCGGAACGTTTGAAAAGTACCTTTTTTTCAATTTGATATTTTGGACCCGGGTTGAACTTTTGGAATATAAAAAAATATTTTCGCAATGTGTTTTTACCTCTAGATTACAATAAAAAGGTTTTTAGGGATTTTCATTTTTGATGCAATTACTCTATTCACTCGATTTTTTAATTATAATTTTCAGAAGAATGGGTTAGTAAAAAGAAAACCGAAGTAACCAATAAAAAACAAATCGAGACCCGCGTTAAAAGACAAGTGGTTCTTGAAGATGGAAAAGTCGTCGAGGACTCGGGACCCATGGTCACGTCCAACACCACTGAAGACACGGAAACTCACGAGCACCATCAAACAGAGGCAAGTTAAGAAGATAATCTCTTTAGAAAAAAACATTATAGTGTACTTTTCTTAAACCAAGATATAGTACGAACAATTGCCCAGTTATTCTATTAAAAATTTTTTTAGTTGCGCAAATTGGGCGATGAGGACGAAGACCAGAAGGCGCTCGAAGATGGCAAATTCCAAAAATCCGGTGGAACGCTTGTCGACAAAACGTCCACGTCAAAATGGGTGCCGGTTGCTAACCCTGACGGGGTCGTTAGAGAGGTCAAGGAGCGCAGGGTTGTTTCTAGAGAGGAGACAGAAGAAGTTAAAGAAACGGAGGACGTGCAGCATCTAGGAGATATCACTGACGAGGTAAGAATTATTTATCTTGGAAAATATGACAAAAATACCCTTCTTATTAGTAACACCGTATCTTTCGACTAAAAATATCCAGATTTTGTCTAAAACATGTTTTCATATTTGTAATTAATGGTGGCCTTCGACTTTAATCCAATTCGGTTTTTAATGAGTACCTAAGTAAGTAGCGTACCTGCTGGAATTTCAGCACAAACACTTCTAATTCGCTCAATCATATTTTCATGGGTTGTTGGTACTTGTTGATGCACAAGGTCTTTGAGATAGCCCCACAAAAAGAAATTCGGCGAAGTAAGATCAGGTGATCTAGCAGGCCAACTAACCGGACCAGCTCTACCAAACCAGCGACCATTAAAATTGCGATCAAGTACTTCACGTGCTAACACCGAATAGTGTGCTGGGCAACCATCATGTTGAAACCACATGTTCTGTCGTACTTCCAAGCTTAAGCCTTCAAGTAATGTGGGCAGTTTATTTTCCAAAATATCTCGGTACATTTCGCTATTTAAGTTCCCTTCAATGACGTAGGGACCGATGAGTTTGTTGCCAACCATTCCACTCCACACTTTGACAGTCCAAGCACAGAACATAAGTAGCCAACGCGGATTTTCAATACTCCAGTAATGTTGTACCGATTTACCGTTCCGTTGTTCGTAAAAGACGTGTAGTCGGAGAACAATACAAAATGGAAAAAATTTGGATTTTGTTGTATTTGTTTACGTGCCCACTGACAAAAAATTACTTCGTTTTAATATTCTGATAACACTGCTCTGGGATATTGCGGAATCGCGAGATAATTCTCGTGTGCTTGCATGAGGATTAGCGGCCGTTGCTACTATTACATTAATTTCATTACTTCCATCTGTGACTGTTGCTCGATGAACTCTTTTTTTCGGTTGAACTCTCCCGTTTGTAGTAAACTGCTTGACTGTACGTTGAAATGAAGCACGCGATCGATTTTTTTTCTGGAAAACGCTGAGCGTAGATGTTAACAGCATCATCAGCCTGCTTTTTCATAAATCAAAATCATTTCTATTTTTCTTCCGCTGTTAAAAAATCCATTATGAATACCTTACTGCTTAACAAAAACAAGTCTTTTTGTTTGCAAATTAATCTTCGTACTAAATAAAATTTATTTTAGTTGTTTCTAAAGGTTATTTATTTTTTTGGACCCTAGGAAAAAAAGTAGCCAGTTGCGCCTTGGAGTCGGACTCTTTTTAGTTAGGTTAACAAAAAATAACAAACAAAAACAAGAATAAAAAAAATTCACGAGTTTAAAATGTAAAACTTATTAATCCTGATTAAATGAAATAAGGTATAAAACTTAAACTTTAGGAAACTTGGATATTAGTAAAAAAACGTACTTTATCAAAAAAAATCAGATTTAATTTTATAGGATAATTATTTCCAATAAAAAAGTCATATACCTATCACTTTTATATTTTCATTGAAAAATTATTGCAGAATGGTATATGGATAAATCGAACAAATTTTTTTTTATTACAAATATGAAAAATTGTTTTACACAAAATCTACCTATTTTTAGTCGAATGATCCGAATCTGCAATAAAAAATAGGGTGTTCCATTGGAAATAGATATTTCAAAGTTTAAGTTAAAATACTCACCCTGTATATCTCAGAACTAAAAATTGCGTTAAAATATGATCTAAGATTTATACGGAAGTACTTAGGAGAAATATAATATTTTTGTCCTGTTAAAGCGGCTTTAACTTGGAGATACCAATAGCTGATAAGACGACGAACCTTTTGATTAAATTTGGTTGATATTTTCATTATTAAATAATATATTCCGGTGGCTTTACTTTATAATAAATGCAAAATAGAATAAACGTTTTTATGCATGTATATGTTGTTAATGTGTAATGGTGGTTGCCTATAATAAACAGTTGAAAGCAATACTCTCTCGTGAAACTGATGTAAATTTTTACTTTTTACAAAACAACGTGTATTTCAACCGGACTAGAAATGTGGAGCTTGAAATTGTTAACATATTAGTCTGTAGGCAAAACTTTCGGTATTTAATTTCTATTTATATTTATTAAAACTAAAAAGTTGTAGAGGGCAATTCCATGATAACTCACGGGACATTCAGATGACAGAAATAAAATTTAACTTGGTATACCAGAATACCTATATTTATTAGGAATGTATAAAATGTTTAAACTTTAAAGGATAGGCCAATGTACTTTTTAACATTTTTGAATAAGTTCACCAATTGATCTCTAGACAAAATGCAGACAAAACGTGTGATAACTCATGGGACACGAAAAACTTTCTTTAAAAAATTGGTTAAATGAAGCAACCTTTTTCTTTGAATCCTAAACTGTATGAAACATAATCTTATTTTAAAAATATACTTTGCCTATAGTGTATTAAAAAACATTTAACTTAACTGCTTTGATTGTGTGAGGTTTTAAAAAAATTGGTTAATATGATAACTCATGGGACATAACGTATTTTTAGTGCAGAATTCAAAATCAGTTAAGACTTTTTAATTATTTAAAATTTTATGGAATATTGGGTTAAATAAATAAAGTAATAATTTTCTAGGCACAAGTAGACATGTTTGCTCCTAGTTTAATAACATTTGGAACATTTCGATTGATATAAATTTGAAGAAAATTACGCTATTACGCATGGAATTGCCCTAGACCTCAAAAATATGTATAAAAAAATTTAATAATTTTTGTTTATATCTAAATATTCCAGAAACCCTAAGGCATTAACAATTTAAAAAGTGAAATTAAAAGTTAAAAAAATCAACCTTTGTATGGGTATTTAAACCAAATGATTTCTAATGATTTTTTTAATTTTGATATATTTTTACGGATATTTTTTGGATGTAAATAATGTCTGTTGGAATGACCCATATGCACAAAACATAATTTGCAGACACGTTATCCCGATTTATCTTTAAGATTTACGATCCGTTCTGCATGGCAAAACAATTGCATTATGTAAGAACTGAAGAAGAGCACAAAACACGCAAACCGAAAAGAAGGTGCAATTTCTGGTTACATAAGAAAGTCACGTTTAAAGGCCCAAAAGGTCACTTATCGTCTTCATCTTAATTTAAAATGTTTAATAGTTAAAATAATTCGTATTTTCCGGTTACGTAGACCCTAATGGAGCCTTTGAAAATCTATTAAATGAATTAACCACAAAGTGAAGACATCGAGTAGAAATCCAGTATTAAACAAATTTTATGGTTCACTCTCTTACCTCCCTTACTAATATATTTTAAATGGCATCCTATACCTTGCGACACATCATTTTAAGGGAAATGCAATTTCGGATCCTTTGAAATTAAAAAAAAAATTGAATCCGATCAGGAATTTGCGAGTTAGAGCCAAAAAAAGTGTGAAATAAATAAAACAAAGATTAAATTAAAAAACTGTTTTACTAAAAATATTTGTATTGATACGATCGTATATCAAACTACCTAAATATTAGAAAAATGGTGTATACTTTAGCCTCGACTTTAGCAGAAAGAACCGAATTAATTTTTAATTACGGATTTGATTCCTGATCCTGATCAATACGTCAGTTGCCAGTTGAAAAAATTTAGGGATACTGGTTCAGTGTGCAACAAAAACACACAAGATCGAGTGTACTGGATGAAGCTGCACGAATTGAAGTTATCGGTCTGTTAGATCCACATCCATTCTAAAAGTAGCTGCTTTAACAAATATTTCTGTTGGTTCCATTCATAAGGTGCTAAAAATAAATAAGTTTTTCCCATATAAAATTCAAATGTGCCAGCAACTCAGCGAAGATGACTGCGACAGAAGAATCTAGTTTTGAGAGGAAATGACGCAAAGAATTGCGGATGCTCCCAATTTATTACAAAATATTTGTTTTAACGATAAATTTACTTTGAAGAAAACTGGACAATTATATCTTGTTCTTCTTAAAAATGTTATAGACCCACTTATTATCCACTCATTAGAAAATGAGATGGATGATTAAGGAAACATGTTGCTTGATGAAGGACATTATGCTCTACCAGTCAGAGAATGATTGAACCAAAGGTTTTCCGAGAGGTGGATTGGTAAAAGAGGTACTCAAGAATGGCCGGCAAGATCTCCAGATTCAACGCCACTTGATTTTTCTCTTTGGGGTCATTTAAAAATGCAAGTCTACAAAACACCAGCTGAGAACATTGTAGAACTCAAACAAAAAATAATATAATACTTCAATGAATCAGTTCGATCTGGGTGATTTAAAATGGATTAGATCCGTTTTGTTGCCAACTCTCATTTTCATCTGGCTTCGTGTTTCCTCCACTGAAACGTAAACAAACAAACAAACGAGCTAAGCGAAAGAACAAACAAGAACAACAAGCATGGCAAAGCAGGTTCGATGCTTTGTGGCTTTAACTGGTAAGTGCTGAAGCGAAGAAGAGAATCTGAAGGACGTACGGCTGCCTAACCTTTAACTACGTACCCTGCTGACTGGAATGATGAATCCGAAAAGTCAGTAACTCGAACGAGACACAGTGGGACGAGACGCAATCTCCAATGCGTTTTTACCAAAGCCACGTGCAACGTTGGAGATCTTCGATCCTTCTGGAGGCGCACTTGTTGCCAAGGTGCTTACCGCGAGCACCAGGGCGGGGAGAGGCGAGGGGCGTGCATAGCAGTCAAGCAACAGTTCCCCGGCTCTCGAGGATGCCGGAGAATTCTTGCAAAGTGTCGCGAACCTCTCTCTGAGCTCTCAACGACTCCAACAGAAGTGCTGAGTTTGTCAAAATACAAGAACAACAACAACAATAAGTGAAAAACAATTTGGGAGTTTTTAAGAATATTTTTTGTTGTTTAGTGATTTTCTTTTGTTAGCAGTGCCTTGCAGGATAAAAGTAACTCAGGGTCAAGGTAGAGAGATAGAATTTAATTTATATATAAATATACCAACCTGTAGTAATTGTTCTTTGAATTTGTGTGGTTTTATTACATTTCAATATAAAATATCTGGTG